AGAGAGAGAGAGAGAGAGAGAGAGAGAGAGAATTAATTTCCGACTCATTCAAGTCTTATATTTATGTCGAATTGAAAACAGACTTTCAAATTGTGAGAAAAGTCTTTTGAATTTAGAGATCATTTTGATAGCGAATTGAGTGTAGATTTTAGTGTAAAAATGTTTTTTACTATCTCTCCGGCGGTTGAGATGCAGAGCAAATGGAAAGCATATAAACAATAGGCGCCGACTTTAATGGCACTTCACTGTAATGTAGAGTTGATTTCATACATAAATTGCTTCAATGAATTCATTGCTTCACTATTTATATTTGCATTTGAAATATAAAATTCTGTTTCAATTATGGATATTATTATATGTGAGACACGCTCTCAGGTAGTGTGACCAGGTGGGCAAATCATAATAGTGTACAAAAGCTAAAAATATTGGTCAAAATAGTGTACAAATAGTGTACACAATATTTATTTCAAAATTTTGATTGTAAATGTCATTATATTAATAATGAATAACTTTATATTTGGAATTAAATTAACACATTTTAACAGTTCTATATTAGAATATTCAAATATGTGCTTTTAACCATGTTTATGACAACATTTCCACACTATTCTGTTAAATATTTTGAATTACTAATTGTCTATAATTTTTTACACTCTTAAAACATGATTTGTTGTTCATTACAAGCAATGCTTTTACACAAAACAAAATATTTTATAAAAGTTTTTATTTTTTGGGTTCATTTTTCTTTGTGATCAAATAGTGTACAATAGTGTACAAAATAAAAATAGTGTACAGAGAGTCAAAATAGTGTACACTGCTGCCTAATAGTGTACACCTGGTCACTCTACTCTCAGGTCTGTATAATATGTGTTAAATAAATATGCGTTCATTAGTTGTCAGAAGTACTTAAGGCTTTATTTCTAATTATTTTTCAAACTTTTTTGTGTATATTCTGTAGAAAACTTTGTAGAATTTTTTTTTAATAAAGTACAAAATATACAGTATACAATATGTAGATATTTCTAATGAGAATAAATTTGTAATCTCATAATAGATAATTACTATTTTCACTAAAATTATCAACAATTTTACTGTTTATAATAAGTCATTCATTATATTTCTCGTTGTTTTACATTAAGAATTATGATATATTTTATTTATTTTTACATGTGTTTTACTTTTTATTATTAGTCATACAGGTTTTGTCATAAAAATTTTTCAATTTTACACTCGCTTTGGGGCAAAATTTACATTATTTTAATAAATTGTGTCCAAATGTAACCCAAACTTTACTCTAAATATTTATTATTGGATTTTCATAATTCAGGTGTTTATTATAATGAGCCATATTTTGAGCACGAGTTTCACGAATCGCTATTAGAGCCGATAATACATGAGCCCCAGTATATCGTCAAACTCGTGGCACCGAGAAAACGGGGGCGAGACAGTGGGGTAAAGGAGCTGCTCCTGGTATTAGCCCCGTTGGCCGCACTACCCCTGATCGGCAGTATGGCAATGACCACATTCACCACGTTGTTTGCCACGGGAGGTCTCGGCCGACGCCGTCGACGCCGCGATCTCTTGACTCGAGAGCTGTTTTCCCGGAGTTTTACTGAAGTGCAGCCGACAGATGCCGGCGATTACCTTCACGAGCGACTAATTGGCGGTCAGCATAATGTGGGACTCGAGAGTTTGTTAGCCAGTGGTAACTTTAACGCTGGCAACACCGGCAACACTGACAGGTCTGGCGCTGACATTAACGCTAATGATAAGCGAGGCATACATTTTTCTCCTGCAATAAATGATTTGATTCACACCCCGTCTGACAGATTTGGTTCGCAAATCACACCGAAATCACAAGTTATTGGCGTCAAAGCTAAAGACACAGATAATTGGAGACCAATCGATACCAGCGCTGGTAATACCAGAACAGGTGCTGTCCATAAAAGTCTCCATAAGACTAGTAATGGTAACGAAAGCGTCGATTCTTGGGTTAAGGGCTTTGAAGAGCGTTCGCCACAAATGATAAGACATTCAGATCTGATTTTAGCCAAAGGAGGAAAGAGAGGAGTAGTAGAGGAAAGTAGTAGTGGTAATGGGATGACAGCACTCGGCGCACAGATCGCTATAGTGGAGCCAATATATCGACAGCAACAGCAACAACAACAGCCATACATGACTTCAACGCAAAAGTCAGCTTATCGTTCAAAAACAGACTTTAGACCCAATCTTATTGTTCATCCAAACAATGCCAATAATGATAGCGTTTCGCGACTTTTTCACAACGAAAATAAAGGATTAGTTGACAATAATTTGGCCGCACTTTCCAAGAACTCTCGAGCGGCGGATCCCAGGCTTACGGACCTCAGCCCTCACGAGTCGGCCACTATTGTTAAGCGCGTCGGAACCCAATCAGCCGAACAGCACCGGAATCCCAGTCCTAATAATAATAATGATAATAATAAGCATAAAACAAATGACTTTGAATTCAATTCGTGGATCCCTTTCCTATCAAACCCTCATTTGGTATTTAATATTAATATTATAAAAATATTCAATATCTTTGAAAATTTAATATAAATACCTTTTCTTGTTTAGTAAAAGCCTTTGAAAACATATTTTCCTGAAAGTATTTATATTTTTTCAGTCAAAATATTAATCTCAAAATATTTGAAAATTAAACTGAAATTTTTTATGAAAATAGAGTTAGAGTTTAGAAGAAAATAAATATCTGAAAATATCATGAGTTAAGTAAATATATGTTTAATAAATACATAAATAATTGAAATGTAATATTTGTTTAATTATTACATTAGTTCTTCTTTTCGCTTATTTAAATTCAAATTAATTTATAATATAATTTTGTAATTCTTGTGAGACAACTGATATTTGTTTCAATTAAGTTTTATTTATTTATAATGCTTTTAATGGTCACAACATTTGTTAAAAACAACATATAATATAAATGTTGATTTTGTCCATAAGTGAAATCTCGCAATTAATCCAGAAATTCAAATTCAATTACATTTAGCCGTAAATATTTAATGCCAACAGAAATGGGAACAAAACTCTCGGTTTATTCTCCAATATATGTCTTAAGGAATGAAAGAAGAATTTAATCACAAAAACATTTATCGCAAACTCAAGCGAAACAACAAAAAAACAGAAACACAACGAAAAAAATTTATTAATTATGAGAAACAATTCAAACAATTTGTTAATTTGTTTGTCTGTCAGAAGCCGTCGGATGCCGTGCGACGAGAGGAGGGGAGGCGTGATATACAGGACTTGGATGTGATTCAGAAATACCTGAATTCAATGGGAAGGCCTGACTATAACGACGAGATTATCGCCACATATCTATCGTGTAATGGAATGCTCAGCGATTCCAACCAATGTCTGGAGAGACTTACCTGTCAGTACTCAGACACCACCGGTCCTCTCAAACCCATGGAAAAGGATGTCTCATCTCTGTATGCATTCAATCATTTCATATGTTTTTGACACAAACATCTCTCTCTCTCTCTCTCTCTCTCTCTCTCTCATAATTTTTCTGACCACACATTTGTCCATAAAATAGGGTTATTTATTCGCTTCTGAAGAACGAACACATCGACAATGGGTTTAAGAGTCGCCTCCAAAGGGCGGCTTTCTATGGAAAAGACAATCCGGGAAAATGTCTTCTTTATAATTGTCCTAAAAATACATT